TAAGAAAAACTTTATATTTTATCTGTTATTTTCAGTAATTAATCTCTGTAAGGGATCAATAGATTTGACCGATCTTTCAACTACCATAAAAATTAGGAAATAAATGGAAATTTTGCCTCTTTCATTCTAGAATGAACAAAAATTATAACATTTAGACTAAATAATTTAAATCTCATAACATGATACATTTATATATATTTATTATTTTTATTATACTGATCTTTCAGCCGGGCCTGGCTAACAATACAGAAGTTACAATGATGAGGCTCATGTGCATTCATGTTACCGTATCCAGTAACATAAAACTGACCTTTGATCAGTACAAAGTAACTTGTCTTAGCTGTGTTTTAGTAGACTAGTATTTTGTAAAATACAGTCACATTTCAGTTATTATACCTCATATATGTATATAGATTATTGCTATTTTGAAGTAAGTTATTAAACTTATTTTTCTTAAAACATAGAACAGTAAATAAAGAAGTAAAGTAAACAATTATTTCTTCTAGTTATGACCTTTGTCAATGGTTGCTGCTTGATGTAGATTGCTAAGCCTTTAAAAAATGTGCACATGGAGGATATGAAACAAAATATTTTTTTAGGTTTTCTCTATATATACACATTTAACTAAAAAACCATAAATTACTACATTAATACCATAGAATTCCACTATAATTTATCAAGCTTAGTAACTAAGATGTATTTTAGTCTAAAAAAAATATAAAATTTCAAACAGACCAAAGACAACCTACCTTGATTTAAAAGAGAGAGATAGTGCCAGGTATGTTATAAAGGCTGAGAAAATCACTAGGGGGGCATTCTGAGCTTTCAATTGGTTATTCGTGTCATATATACAAGTAAGTGTATATATAAGGGAGCATTTCAAAAAATGGAAAGGGGTGATGGGGTGCTACTGTGTTTGATTTATTACATGAGCAATATCTTAACAAATAGCAGAGATAAGTCCTTCTTTTCTATATTCTCGTTTGTCAATATCTGTAATTTGAGTTTCCAATTCGTAGTTAGTATTTTGACCTCAAAAACATCTAATTTGAACCAGTGCTCCATTCAACATACCACGTGACACACAAAAATATGATGTTTCTGTTTTTTAATATTTACTTTTAAATTAACAAATTGAGTAATGTATAGTACTAATATCTGAATTATAATCTACAGTTTGGTACCAAAGTTTTTGACATAAATTCATGAAATAGTAGTTCAATAAAATTTTGAATGCGAGTCAACAAACGAGATGATATGGCCTTTTACCTGTTATACGTTTCAAAGGGTTAAATTTATAACGTACAAAAGATGTGTCATTCTACTTTCAGAGCACTTCAATGTAAAAATTGTGTGAGGATGTTGGTATATGTTCATAGCACTTCAATATAAAAATTGTGTGAATATGTTGGTTACTTTCATAGCACTTCAATATAAAAATTGTGTGAATATATTGGTATGATATCATAGCACTTCAATATAAAAATTGTGTGAATATGTTGGTATACCTTCATAGCACTTCAATATAAAAATTGTGTGAATATGTCGGTATACCTTCATAGCACTTTAATATAAAAATTGTGTGAATATGTCGGTATACCCTCATAGCACTTTAATATAAAAATTGTGTGAATATGTTGGTATACTTTCATAGCACTTTAATATAAAAATTGTGTGAATATGTTGGTATACTTTCATAGCACTTTAATATAAAAATTGTGTGAATATGTTGGTATACCTTCATAGCACTTTAATATAAAAATTGTGTGAATATGTTGGTATACTTTCATAGCACTTCAATATAAAAATTGTGTGAATATATTGGTATGATATCATAGCATTACAACATATAATTTGATAAAATTTCATAGAATTTCAACAAAGTTGTGTGAATGATCTGATTAATCAATACCTCCAATACACGAATTCACACACTCAGTCTGACAAGAAATGATGTTACCCTTTATAACTAGGCAACAATGAGAACAAAATAAATAAAACCTTACTATCAGGCAGTGAAAACTCCAACAGTGATGATATGTTGGGTGGGGATATGGACACAGGAGTTGATGTCTCTGGAATTGAAAGCTGAGGTGGAGAAATCTCAGAATGAACCGAGATGCTGGACAATCCAGGGGACTTCAATGAAATGGGAGAGTTTCTGAGGCTTAATGACTACAAATAAATAAAACTTTGTGAACATAAGATACAGCAGTGACTTCTAAATAAATCATTTAATCTTGCACATTACTGAATCATTTCTAGTCATAAAGGATAAAATTAGTTAGATAATATTTAGAAAAAGCAGAAAAGTCCATGTGAGATTAACATTCAAATGCTTGATAAGAAGTTTTTTTTATATTCTTTTTTTTAAAACTATGATATATTTCTCCTGACATTAAATGGTTTGGTTTAGTCTAAAGATCTGGTAGATCTTTCACTCCTAATCAGCAACAGAAAAATGTACACACTTTTAAAAAAACACTTACTGCAAGGGTAGTGTGTGAATCTGTTCTGATTGTGAGAGGGGTTGTGACAGAAAGCAGCCTTCCTTTCACAACATCTTCATGTTTAGTTATCACATTCACACCTTCAGAGGACCTAACAGCATGGTGACTCGTCGTTGCACGGGAATATCCCGACGGATTGGGTACAGAGCTGATGACCTGTGTCACGGTTGGCATAGATAAAAGACTAGTTGTTGAAGCTGTACTGTTGGCCAAGATGACGTGCGGCTGCATAACTACTCCTCCTGAGGAACTACTTTCTGCTGTTTTCAGTAAAGGCACCTGGAGGGAGGTCACATCCACAGGGCCAGTAGCTACAATAAACCATTAGTTGATACATGTGATGTTACTCTGAAACCTAATGAATATTGTATCCGCTATATTAACAACAGAAAACTTTGACTTTTATTTAAGCTAGGTACGATTAACGCCACAAAAAGTACTTTAGGTTACTCTGGAAATTATAATCAACATTTCTAACTACATGTACATTACAGGCCAAATATATGTATCTATACACAAATTAAAAGATTATTGTCTATAACTGAATTTTTTATGTTAGAAGCCTATAGTTATAGCTATATGTAAATCAGAGGCCTAATATTTGTACCTATACATCACTTACTGTTAAAATAAGGTCTGAACTAACTTACTGAACTTGTTTACTTCTCAACAGTAACAGATGTTAAAATAAGGTCTATTTTTTAATTTAAACTAACTTACTGAACTTGTTTACTTCTCAACAGTAACAGATGTTAGTATAAGGTCTATTTTTTAATTTAAACTAACTTACTGAACTTGTTTACTTCTCAACAGTAACAGATGTTAAAATAAGGTCTATTTCTTTAATTTGAACTAACTTACTGAACTTGTTTACTTCTCAACAGTAACAGATGTTAAAATAAGGTCTATTTTTAATTTGAACAAACTAACTGAACTTGTTTACTTCTCAACAGTAACAGATGTTAAAATAAGGTCTATTTCTTTAATTTGAACTAACTTACTGAACTTGTTTACTTCTCAACAGTAACAGATGTTAAAATAAGGTCTATTTTTTAATTTGAACAAACTAACTGAACTTGTTTACTTCTCAACAGTAACAGATGTTAAAATAAGGTCTATTTTTAATTTGAACAAACTTACTGAACTTGTTTACTTCTCAACAATAACAGATGTTAAAATAAGGTCTATTTTAATTTGAACAAACTAACTGAACTTGTTTACTTCTCAACAATAACAGATGTTAAAATAAGGTCTATTTTTTAATTTGAACAAACTAACTGAACTTGTTTACTTCTCAACAATAACAGATGTTAAAATAAGGTCTATTTTT